AGAGAAAGAAAGAAAGAAAGAGAAAAAGAAAGAAAGAAAAGGGGGAGGGAGGGAGGAAGAAAGAGGGAAGGAAGGAAGGAAAAGAAAGAGAAAGAAAGAAAGAAAGAAAGAAAGAAAGAAAGAGAAAGAAAAAGAAAGAAAGGGGGAGGGAGGGAGGGAGGAAGAAAGAGGGAAGGAAGGAAGGAAAAGAGAAAGAAAGAAAGAGAGAGAAGGAGGGAAGGAAGGAAGGAAGGAAGGAAGGAAGGAAGGAAGGAAGGAAGGAAGGAAGGAAGGAAGGAAGGAGTTATTTTATAATCCATAGAAATTTATTTTTTATCTACTACTCCTTTAATTTTTTTTTAAAAGACATATATTATTGTTTTAAAAATATGCATGTCTATTTGACTGGGATGGAAGCAGAGATTCAAATGGGCTCCATATTTTTTAAAAATGGGAAATGAAGTGTGTGTCAGTGTGTACCCTATATGTGTTTGTGTGTGTGTGTGGAGGAGATGAATGACTAGGACTTTCTTGATTGCTGCCACGGTGAAATGAGTGGAAGCACCGCTGTGAAGGTGGTAGCTCAGCTCAATATTTTCCAACGTTAAATAGATGCTTAAACTCTGGCCCCAAGAAAATCCGGAAAGGAAGAGGACAGAGTTCAAGTAAACAAGGCAGCTCCAACTGAAGTTGCAGCTTTGTCAGAGACCCCAAATAAGGGAAGGGGGTCTTTCAACTCAGATTTTTATCTGCTGCCTTGGGAATAGAGGCTCTTTCTTGTGGTCTCTTGAAAGTAAAAACCTCTTTCCTTTGAAAGGTTCCGCTCCTCTTATGTTATCTTTTTGAGAGAATTCAGGGGCAAGAAAAAAGGGATTGAGAGGAGAGATCAAACAAAGGAACAGGAGCAGCTGCTCTCATCCTTCGCCGGATGCCTCTCACCTTCCATTTCCACTCAGTCCCCCCTCAGATTATCTTTCCAAACCATCATGCTTTGAATCGATGACACATTCAGACAACCAGCGAGCTTTGAGGATCCATTTGGAGATACGCAGAAATGAGACAGGCTGACACGGCATCTGATAAGGATACAACGATGAAAAGTTCTCCGAGAATTCTTTGTTGAGGCAGCTTCCATCTGAAGGTTTCTTTGGTGACTCACCATTTTAGGTCCTTCATTGAACCCAGGTTTCCTGCACCAAATCTAACTTCACAGAGTTGGAAGGGAACTTGGAGGTCTTCTAGTCCAACCCCCTGCTTAGGCAGGAGACCCTACACCACTTCAGACCAATGGTTATCCAACATCTTCTTAAAAACCTCCAGTGTTGGAGCATTCACAACTTCTGAAGGCAAGTTGTTCCATTGATTCATTGTTCTCACTGTCAGGAAATTTCTCCTTAGTTCCAGGTTGCTTCTCTCCTTGATGAGTTTCCACCCATTGCTTCTTCTCCTGCCCTCAGGGGCTTTGGAGAACAGCTTGACTCCCTCTTCTTTGGGGCAGCCCCTGAGATATTGGAACATTGCTATCATGTCTCCCCTAGTCCTTCCTTTCATTAAACTATCCATGCCCAGTTCCTGCAACCATTCATCGTATGTTTTAGCCTCCAGTCCCTTCATCATCTTTGTTGCTCTTCTCTGCACTCTTTGCATTTACAACCAACTACTCCAATTATTCTCAGATTTGGAAGAACATTGTTCTACTCCGTGTGTTGACCAAGATGGACACCAGGAGTAAGTTGTATATGCAGGAAGGTTCATGGATGGACAAAAAGGAAACTGAAACAAGGTTACAGTCAGATTCCTTGAGGCTTGTCTAGAATCAAGTGACTTAGTGACAAAAAAAAAAAAAATTCAACATTTGGATTCTGTCCATGTCTGATTAAATGCCTCTTTCAGATCTTATTTCCCAGTGATGATTTATACCCATAAAACAGCTGCGTTTCTAATGAGCAGCTAAAAATGCAGAACTACCTCCCACAGGCAGCTCTTACACGCCAATGGGGGGGGGCGGGTAGGAAAGGAATAAAACAAGCATCTCAACTCCATCCATTTTGCCTCCGGGGACAAAGTTTGGCAGAAGTTCCAGAGGTGCCGAGAATTCTCCGAGTTCGTGAAACATCAGCGCAAAACGGAAAGGAGCAGAATGGTTAAGATTTAAGTAGCAAATTTTGAGTACCGGCTTTTGAGTTGAGGTTTTTGGAAGAAACATTTGGTACTTTTAAGGACCTGTCTTGGACCAGTAGCCATGCATCTAAAGAGAGTTTTTTTTGCCAGACAAAAGGTCCATGCTATCGAAAATATTGCCTTCTGGCTTTGCAGAAATCCGTTTTTAAAGTGTCAACAATGGCTCTGCAACCCAACAAGACAGACACAGACTTCAGAGGATCATTAGAACTGCAGAAAAAACAATGGCTACCAAGCTGCCTTCCATTGAGGACCAGTATACTGCACGGGTCAAAAAGAGGGCTGGGAAAATATCTACAGACCCCTCACATCCTGGACATCAACTGTTTCAACTCCTACCCTCAAAACGACGCAATAGAGCACTGCACACCAGAACAACTAGACACAAGGACAGTTTTTTCCCGAATGCCATCACTCTGCTAAACAAATAATTCCCTCAACACTATCAAACTATTCACTAAGTCTGCACTACTATTAATCTTCTCATCGTTCCCACCACCCATCTCCTCCCACTTATGGCCGTATGACTGTAATTTTGTTGCTTGGATCCTTACGATTTATATTGATATTGTTTCCCGATTGTTTATTTGTACCCTATGACTGTCATTAAGTGTTGTACCTTATGATTTTTGACGAACGTATCTTTCCTTTTATGTACACTGAGAGCTTATGCACCAATACAAATTCCTTGTGTGTCCAATCACACTTGGCCAATAAAGAATTCTATTCTATTCTATTCAAAGATTAAATCTTCCCTTCCCTTTTCTGGAAGTGAAATAAATACAGGAATTGTGGTGTGTCCCCCCCCGTCTCAGGTTAACTGAGTATGTTGAAACTAGCTGATTGGACAGCTAAATAGGCGACAGACAAAAATTTGCAAACCTTGGTCTCACTTCTAACTCCAGGACCAACTGCTAACGCGAGGCAACATTTAACCAATGACAAATATATCCAAAGTTGTCTGAAAATCTTAACCCTTTCTTTATCAAACAGATATGATCTTACCCAAGAGAAGATGCTTTCACCATCTGATCTGTGATTCTAAAATCTCCTGCCCCATTAGTATGAAACAGAAGACTTAACACATTCACTTTTAGAAACCTTACAGAAATAATAAAGAGAGAGAGAGCGCTAACGGAGGATGCAAAGCCAGTGTGACACTGTGATTTTTACTTGGCTTCTGCTTTCTACTGCCGGAAAATATTGGAGGAGCAAGGATTGATCTTATCAATCGGCTTACCTTTATGTAAGCTGTTTTCTTGAAGAGCCTAATCTAGCAGAATAAGAGAATAACAGAGTTGGAAGGGACCTTGGAGGTCTTCTAGTCCAACCCCCTGGTTAGGCAGGAGATCCTACGCCATTTCAGACAAATAGTTGTCCAATCTTTTCTTTAAAACTTCCAGTGTGGGAGCATCCACAACTTCTTTCTTTTCATTAAACTACACAAGCCCACTTCTAGCAATCGTTCTTTATATGTTTTAGCCTCCAGTCCCCTAATCCTCTTTGTTGCTCTTCTCGGCACTCTTTCTAGAGTCTCAACATCCTTTTTACATTGTGGTGACCAAAACTGAATGCAGGATTCCAAGTGTGGCCTTACCAAGGCATTATAAAGTGGTATTAACACTTCACGTGATCTTGATTCTATCCGTCTGTTGATGCAGCCTAGAACTGTGTTGGGTTTTTTGGCAGCTGCAGCTATCGGCTGGCTCATGCTTAAGTCACTAGGACTCCAAGATCCCCCTCACAGTTACTACTATTGAGCCACTTTCCACTTAATCAATATCTGTGCATTTGTTTTTTCTTGCCTAAGTGTAAAACCTTACTTTTATCTATGCTGAATTTCACTTTGTTGGATAGGGCCCAGTGTTCAAGTCTGTCAAGATCCTTCTGTATCTTAAGCCTATCTTCCGGAGTGCTGTCATCTGCAAATTTGATGAGTTCTCCATCAAATCCAAATCTAGACAGCTGTCAATTTGACTGAGAAATGGATATATGTATGCCTAAATCACCTAGTTATCACCAGAAGATGAGAAGAGAAAGAGAGAGAGAGAGAGAGAGAGAGAGAGAGAGAGAGAGAGAGAGAGAGAGAGAGAGAGAGAGAGAGAGAGAGAGAGAGATAACAGAGATAGATAGGGGGGAGAGAGAGAGAGAGAGAGAAAACAGTTAAACTGTTTCCAAAATTTTATAGAATAAGAATAAGAATAGAACAGAACAGAACAGAATAGAATAAGGAATAGAATAGAATAGAATAGAATAGAATAGAATAGAATAGAATAGAATAGAATAGAATAGAATAGAATAGAATAGAATAGAATAGAATAGAATAACAGAGTTGGAAGGGACCTTGGAGGTCTTGTAGTCCAACCCCCTGCTTAGGCAGGAAACCCTACACCACTTCAGATGAATGGTTGTCCAATCTCTTCTTAAAAACTTCCAGTGTTGGAGTATTTACAACTTCTGGAGCCAAGTTGTTCCACTGATTAATTATTCTAACTGTCAGGAAATTTCTAGTTAGAAAAATGAAGAGGAGACAAGAGTGAAATTGTTAAAGTGAATGTAAGGAAAGAATGTGAAAATTACATTTGTGGCATGAAGATTAGTATGATTTAAAATGCAATAAAATAGATGTAAAGGGAACAGTAGCTTTAAAAAAACGAGAGGCGTGTTAATCAGCAGAAAAAAACCTGCCCAGTGGGAGTTTCCTTCCAGATACAGTGTAGTAGTGTTACTCAAAGCTAGAAGCTTCTTTTGAAGCCTATCTTTACATCTTTGGACAGAAGTGAATTTCACTCATCCCAGTTTCAGAACTCCTTCGCATTAATACCAAGACTTTCTCAGGATCAGGATGGTATAAACTTTTTATTATTTACACTTAGACGCTTCTGCTTCTTCAATGAGCTTGCGTGGAGTCCTTGGTCGTTTCTTCTCCCACCATTTGGAGCAGATTCAATCTCCCTTTAGTGCTTCAGCTACTGGACGACAGGTAGTTCTCGACTTATGACCACAATTGAGCCCCACATTTCTGTTGTTGTGTGAGACTGTACCGCAGTGGTTCAGGGAATGACGGACGTTGTGAAGTTAGTCCAAAAGGTGTTTTTTTTCAAGAGGCAACTGGACTTTCTTCAAAGAAAAACCAAGAAAGTCCAGTTGCCTCTTGAAAAAAACACCTTTGGAAACAACTTGGATGATGGAGAATCTCCATAGACATTTCTTAAGTTAGTCATTCGGTTGTTAAGTGAATCTGTCTTCCCCCTTGACGTTGCTGGTCAGGAGGTCACAAAAGGAGATCACATGACATTATACAACAAATGAACTGTTTTAGATCGAGGACTACCTGTCAATCCTGTATCACTGGACCCATCCAAGACTCAACCTTCCCCCCTTAACTATGGTCTATGTTATGGACTATGGTCCATAAACCCATTCCTACTTGGTCTCAACCCAACTGTTCTGAAGGCAACAGTCCACGCTTCCTCCTAGGCAAAAATTGAATCATATTTATGAAGCCCGTTCGAAGTCAGTGAGATATCCACTTGAGGTGCTTCATGGTCAAAAGCCAAAGACTTTGAACACACTATGAGTCTTTCTCAAGATAAGATTGGGTGGAGAAGGACACACCGTTCGATCACTAAGACTGTAGCTTGAAGTGCCAAAATTGATCTTACACTTTCAGGTACGTGGCACGAGAATGGCCTTGCTTTAAAGAGTTCGCGTAAGGGAACTGACCCCCTGTAGAAGACAGTTTCTCATTGAGCTTCTGGTTGATCAGCTCCATGTGCCGGCCATTCTTCCTGGTTTGTCTCAGCAACCTCTTGACTTTCTTCACTCGGTCTTGTAGCTGCTTGTTGCGTTTCTCCAAGGCTGCCACTTTTTGCTGGAGCTTCTTCACGTGGTCCTCCTCGTCGAACAAGGCCTTCTGGAGGGAGGAGCACATGAGCTGAAACGACAAAAGACAGAGGGACGTCAAGTAACCAAAATTTCAAGGATGTCTCTGCTCTTACCTGCTTCATAAGCGTGTCCCTCGTCACCAGAAGTTAAGCAATGTTTCAAGGAGGTCAGTTCCCTCTGCTCAAGGTCTGAACTCAAGGAGGAACATGGCCTCTCTACTGGTAAGAAAATCATGGACGTAGAAGACATAGAATAACAGAGTCGGAAAGGACTTTGGAGGTCTTCTAGTTTGCCTCCAGAAGTTGTGAATGCTCCAACACTGGACGTTTTTAAGAAGAGATCTGTCTTAAATGGTGTAGGGCAGTGGTGGGATTCAAATAATTTAACAACCAGTTCTCTCCCCTCATGACTGTCTGGGGGGCGTGGCCATGGTGGGTGTGGCCAGGGGTATGACAGGCAGCACTTGGCCTCCTGCATCCCCCTGGGAGCAAAAACAGGCCATGGGGGAGGGGCAATCGTGCCCCCTGTGTCCTGTTTTGGGCCTAGTAGGCCTCTCTGCACCTCCTGGGAGCAAAAATGGGCTGCGGGAGGCACAACGCATCCCCCAAACCCCATTTTGGGCCTAGGAGGCCTCCCTGCACTTATCTAGGAGCCAAAATGGGGCATGTGGGAATTCCTGGAAGGGGTGGGGCAGGAAGCGGTGGGAAGGAGAGGGGCTAGCCAGCAATTTAACTAGTGGTTCACCCGAACTGGCCCGAACTGGCTGAATCCCACCACTGGCATAGGGTCTCCTGCCTGAGCAAGGGATTGGACTAGAAGACCTTCAAGGCCCCTTCCAACTCTGTCATTCTGTATTCTAGTCTGTATTCTAACCAACAGAAGGGCACAGTAAATACCTTGACTTACCTTAGACACACAAAATGTTATTCAACCACTGTGTAGGTGTGAAAAACTACTCATGGTACTACCGTCAAGGTTTATTTCATGGTTATTTCCCTCTTCCTCCTCCTCCTCTAGCCCACTGAGTTTCCTAACATATCTCTCCGAAAGGCGCGCTGTAGAAGTTGCAACCCGCCAACCTCCCTTGCTGAGATAATGCAAGTTATTATGTTTTCTTTCTGCGTTCCGGGTTTTGTAATTATTATTTTCAACAAGCGGGAAGAGTTCAGAAGTGAAAGAATGCTGATTTATTTCAAAGGTGGGAGGGGGGGAATGACTCACCCAAGCTGCCATTCATAGACGATGATTTATATGCCAGTCTTTCTGGACTGCTGTGAGTTTTTGCTAAACCTTCCATTCTCTGCAGGGATACCACCTACCCTCACACCAGAAGCTGCTTCAGAAGCCAAGCATTTGGGGTTGATGGGCGTGTGCATGCATTTAAATTTAAAACCACTGCAAGATTCAAGTCAGTTGAGAGTCCAGAAGTATCCGAGAGAAGAGTAATGGAACTTCATCCAAAACTAATCCAGTTTTTTTAAAAAAATCACTACTCTATAGTAGTGGCCAAAATTATGGGAACCTTTTGGGAAAAACATATTTTTGAGGTTTGATGACTAATAACACCACTTTTTTTTTGGAAATTCAAGATAATCCTATTCCACTGCTGGAATGGTCTGGGAATAGCCCAGACCTTCACCCAATTGGAAATCTACGGAGCCGACTAAAGAAACTGGTTAGTCAGAAGCCATCCAGCAATAAAACCCAGTTAATAGAAGCCATCATTCAATCTTGGTTTCATATTAGAACAACTGAAGAATTCAAAGACTTGGTTCGCTCCATGGGAAGACGTTGTAAGGCCATAATTCATGCTAAAGGTTACCCAATTAAGGATTAACTGACATGGGGATCATTTTTGTATATCTCATTTTTTCTATGGTGATCATTTTTGCATGTCTCGTTTTTTCTACGTGTTTCACTTTCCTTCTTTATACTGTAACTGCTATTCTAAGAGCAAATCCTTCCTAAAAGGTATTGCATTACATTCTTGATTAAATTATCTTTCCATTGATATATAATTTTATGTTAGTACTCCCCAAAAATGGGTGTAATTAGCTAGTTTTAGAAAATACACTTTTAATAGAATAGAATAGAATAGAATAGAATAGAATAGAATAGAATAGAATAGAATAGAATAGAATAGAATAGAATAGACTTTGCAAACAACGTCAGCGGGGAAGCCAGATTCACCTAACAACACTTTGACAAATTGATTCGTGATTTACTTAACACCTGTGACAAGAACGGTCGTAAAATGAGACAAACTAATTGAAGAAAGGTTTCACTTAGTAACGGAAATTTGGGGCTCAATTGTGGTCGTAGGTCGACTACAATTGTGTACATCAGACAATTGTGTACGGAAAACTTTGGAGTTCTTCTCTATATGTGAAGAATAAATGCTCCATAGTTTTTGCCACAAGTTCATACTCTGGGATCCAATTAGGAACAATTTTATCCCCATTTCTCTTGGGCATTAGTTTACTATGATGGGGCTCATTTCCTGGAGAGTTTCCCCAACATTTTTTGGCTGCCGCATATCATGTTGTGATGATGATAAAAAATACGAGACCAAATTGCAGGTTTGAAAGCGAAGCAGTTGCTGGTTTTTCCAAGAAGCACTGATTCAGCAGAAAGACAAAATTACAGTAAAACTTCTTCTTTTTTTTTTTGTGAGAAAATGTACCAAAAATGTAGTACAGTGGACTAAAACACTGTTATTAACATCTGCTGCTTGCAATTACTGCAAGTTCAAATCTCGCCAGGCTCAAGGTTGACTCAGCCTTCCATCCTTTCTAAGGTAGGTGAAATGAGGACCCAGATTGTGGGGGCAATAAGCTGACTTTGTATAAATATACAAAAGTATGAAGGCTATTGCTTAACGCATTGTAAGCTGCCCTGAGTCTCCGGAGAAGGGCAGCATATAAATTAAAGCAAAAAAAAAAATGTACTGAGATCTGCAGAAGTCTTTAGAAAATGGACTCATTCATTAAAAAAAAATAGGCTCTTTCTTTCACGGGGGTTATTTGAGCACTTGGTAACCTTGAAGAGATGTAATTTCAGGGTGAGGGCAATTTACAATAAAGCTGAAAAACTCGTTCTGGAGAGCATTCCAGATCGCATGAGAAATGTTTTAAGGCCAAATCAGATCGTTGCGTATCTGTTCTGAGGCTTTTATTTATTCATCAGCTTTGCACATCTATTATTTTCTCCTGTTCAGAGCTGCTTATAACATCCAGGATACCAATATAATACGAGCAGAATGAATAATGAAGCATCTACTATAATATAAAATAGCGGAATATTTTATATAGCCTTGCTTACATGTCCTCTCTTTAAAACAGAAATATCTGGGGAGGAAATGAGGACTATCCTAAGATGACATCAACCTCCCAGTGATGCCGCTTGCAATCTTCCAGTTGATGAAGGAAAGAAATTACGGTCTTCCTATTCTATATAAATTCCTTATGGAAGAAAGTCAGATTTACTTCCGGCTAAAAACACATCCAATTAAATTAGAAGAATCACACAAAGGACTGAAAAAAACACCAGACTAATAGAATAACAGAGTTGGAAGGGATCTTGGAGGACTTCTAGTCCAACCTCTTGCTCAAGTAGGCAACCTTACACCATTTCAGACAAATGGTTGTCCACTCTCTTCTTAAAAACCTCCATTGATGGAGCATTCACAACTTCTGGAGGCGAGTTGTTCCACTGGTTAATTGTTCTCATTGTCATGAAATTCCTCCTTAGTTCTAGGTTGCTTCTCTCCTTGATTAGTTTCCATCCGTTGTTTCTTGTCCTGCCTTCAGGTATTTTGGAGAACAGATTGACTCATTCTTCTTTGTGGCAATCCCTCAAATATTGGAACACTGCTATCATGTCAGAACTGGATTGTATCTTTCTAAAGATGTCTGCAGAAAATCTTCAACTAACGGTGTCTCTCCTCCTAAAGGAACTTACCACATTTATATACCTGCCAATTATGTGCCACAAACAACTTCTTCTTCTTCTTCTTCTTCTTCTTCTTCTTCTTCTTCTTCTTCTTCTTCTTCTTCTCTCTTCTTCTTCTTCTTCTTCTTCTTCTTCTTCTTCTTCTCCTCCTCTTCCTCCTCCTCCTCCTCCTTCTCCTTCATCTCCTTCTTTCTCTCCTTCTCCTTCTCCTTCTCCCTCTTCCTCTTCCTCTTCCTCTTCCTCTTCCTCTCCCTCTCCTTCTCCTTCTCCTCCTTCTCCTTCTCCTCTTCCTCTTCCTCCTCCTCCTCCTCCTCCTCCTCCTCCTCCTCCTCCTCCTCCTGGATTTTAACCATCTAGAACAGCATATCTAAACACTGTATATATTCTAACCATCCTGAATAGCACCAGAAGGCAAGACAAGAAATTAGGGATGAAAACTAATCAAGGAGAGAACCAAGTAAGGAGAAATTTTCTGATAGTGGGAACAATTAACTAGAGGAATGACTTGCCTTCAGAAATTGTGGTTGCTCCATCACTGGAGGTTTTCAAGAAGAGATTGGACAACCATTTGTCTGGAATAGTAGGGTGCTTTGATGGACTAGAAGACCTCCAAGGTCCCCTCCAACCCTATTATTCTATTCTGTTTGATGGAAAGGCAGAGCATAAATGGACTAAAGAAAGAAAGAAGAGACCTCAATCTCCACTCTAAACATACAGAAGTAATTCATTTCAATAGCTTCACTTCTAACTTGTTCTAGCCTTCTATTCTGGAGAAAAGAGTGAAAAAAGAGGGGAAGGGAAAGAGAGAAAGGAAAAGGGAAGGAGAGAAAAGACAAGGGAAAGAAGAGACTGGACAACCATTTGTCTGAAATGGTTGTCCAGTCTTCCTTCCTTCCTTCCTTCCTTCTCTCCTTCCTTCCTTCCTTCCTTCTCCATCACTGGAGGTTTTCAAGAAGAGGATTTGTCTGAAATGGAATAGGATCTCCTGCTTGGGCAGGGGGTTCCTTCCTTCCTTCCTTCCTTCCTTCCTTCCTTCCTTCCTTCCTTCCTTCCTTCCTTCTCCATCACTGGAGGTTTTCAAGAAGAGACTGGACAACC